TCACTCTCAAGGGGAAAGGTGGGTCTCCATATCTTCCGATCTTCTTTGGGGGAATCCATATGGCCTGGGAGGACTTGGTTACTGTATCCACCTTGACACATAGAAGGCTTTTACGTTTCATTAAAAAGGGAAATCTTCCACCATCAGGGTAACCAGTAGGAATAGGTTTTTGAAGCTCTCCATAAACTGTCAAGGTTTTATCAATACAAGAAAAGTTTCCAAGGGTATGGTGACACTGAGAGCTCTGAAAGCTTGGGAGATCCTACTGGTATGAAGGGTATGAGAGAAGTGATGTAGGGATTGCCTATAATTCCCAGAATTTCAGAGTCCGAGAATTCAGCATCCACCTAGTCTAACTCATATTGGCAAAAGGATCTTCTCAAAATACAACATACATGTAGTCATTTAGCGTTTGCTCAAAGACCTCCAAAAAGGGAAAATCCACTACCTTCTTTTTTGAATAGCTCTAATAGCAGCTAGATATTTTAGTGACTGGGCCAAAGTCAGGAAGATGAGTGTTTCTGAGTTCAAATCTGGCCTCAGACACTTATTAGCTATGTGATTCTGGGCAAGTCACTTAACCCTTTTTGCCTCAGTTTCCTCATCTGTAAAATGAACTAGAGGAGGAAATGGCAAGCCACTCTTTGCCAAGAAAACCCCAAATGGGGTCACAAAGAGTCAGACATTACTGAAAACAACTGAAACCCTCTGCCTCCCTCACTCATTTTTAGGAAGTTTTTCCTTAAATCATGGACTAAATTTGCTTCTTTTAACTCAAAGTTGTCTGCCATATCATACTGTTGGCCACACATATATTTCAGACTATGCTGTAAGCATTCCTCTCCTATCATACACACACACACACACACACACACACACACACACACACACACACGAGAAGTTGATCTTTTAAAAGAAATATTTTTTCTTTTGAGTAGAGAAATGCAAATTAAATCAACTCTGAGGTACCACCTCACACCTATCAGATTGGATAATGTGACAAAAAAGGAAAATGTTGGAGGATGTGGGAAAATTGGGGCACCAATGCACTGTTGGTGAAATTGTGAACTGATCCAACCATTCTGGAGAGCAATTTGGAACTATGTCCAAAGGGCTATAAAAATGTGCATACCCTTTGATCCAGCAATACAATACCACTACTAGGGCTGTATCCCAAAGAGATCATCAAAAAAGGGAAAAGGACCTACATGTGCAAAATTATTTATAACAGCCATTTTTGTGGTGGCAAAATATTGGAAAGTGAGAGGATGCCTATCAATTATGGAATGACTGAACAAGGTGTGATGTATAAATATAATGGAATACTATTGTGCAATGAGAAAGTTTGAGCAGGCAGATTTCAAAAAAACCTGGAAAGACTTGTACAAACTGACACAAAGTGAAATGAGCAGAACCAGGAAAACATTGTACACAGTATCAGCAACATTGTGTGAAAATCAACTATGAATGATTTAGCTCTTCTCAGCAACACAGAAGGACTCACAAAGGAAAATGCTATCCACATCCAGATAAAGAACTGATGGACTCTGAATGTGGGATGAAACATACTTTTTTTCACTTTTTTTGGTGTTTTTTTTCCCCTTTTGATTCATTTCTTCTTTCACAACTGTGACTAATATGCAAATATGTTCTACATAATTGAACATATATCACCTATACAAATTGCCTACTGTTTTAGGAAGAGGGGAGGAGAGGGAAGCAGGGAGAGAGAAAATTTGGAGCTCAAAATCTTGTAGGGGCAGCTAGGTAGTACAGTGGATAGAGCACCAGTCCTGCAGTCAGGAGGACCTCAGTTCAAATCTGTACTCAGACACCTAACACTCACTAACTGTGTGACTCTGGGCAAGTCACTTAACCCCAATTGCCTCACCAAAAAAAAAAAAAATCCAGGAGACACATGGAGATTAATTTATGGGGCAGCTAGGTGGTGCAGTGAATAGAGCACCAGCCCTGGAGTCAGGAGGACCTGGGTTCAAATCCAGCCTGAGACACATAACACTTACTAGCTGTGTGACCCTGGGCAAGTCACTTAACCCCATTGCCTAGCCAAAAAAAAAAGCAAACCAACAGTCTATGGCACCTCTCCCATCTTTCAATCACCAACCCTGGCTCTACAATTTTATCTAGCAGCTCTTTCCTCACCTGAAGATGTCATTCAGGTGGGACAGATGACTTGCATTCATCAAGAACAGACTGATCCTCTCTTAACTATATGCTAATTTAGCTTGAGTATCACCTCCTCACTGGGTATTTTTGTGTTGTCCTTTCCATTCCAACAATCATTTTCCTTGGCAAACAAAACAGGAATCGTGCACTTCCATCTTCTCTCTGTCTCTCTCTCATCAGGTAGTCATATTATCCACATCCCCCAAGCAACAGTTCTATTCCTTTTTTGATCTTCCTCCTTTCCTTAATATAGTTTTCCATTCCCACCCCACCCTACCACCTCCACTTTCTTGTTGTCCTTAGCTTCCCTTGCCAGCATCAGCTCATTCTGAGCTTTAGCATTCCTGGCACTATTTTTACAGGACTATTCCACAGTTTTCTACTTATTCTCTGCTCTCTGGCCTTGCTTTATCTTCTACGTATGTCTTTTAAAAATCTAAGTTGGTTAATGAGTTCCCTGATCATTCTCATTGGTCTCTTTAGACAGCCCCATTTCTTCCTCATAAAAGGTTATCTCGCTTTGTGTCTCCAGAATTTAATTCTTGAGGGCTTCCCATTCCTCCTGGCCAGGCTTACTCTGTAGAATTGTAGTGTGATGAATGCACACACCCAGAAGAACCATAGATATAAACTTCCTGCCTCTAATTCATCCTTTATTCAACTACCAAAATAAATTTACTAAGGCATTGGTCTAATTCTTTTGCTCAAAAACCTTTAGTTGGTCCTAACGATACAAGAATAAAACAAAGACTCCTTAATTTGGCAATCAATCAGTGAACATTTATTAAGTGCCCACTATGTGCTGGCCATTAGGCTAAGTGCTGGGGATTCAGAAAAAGGCAAAAGACAGTTCCTGCTCTCAAGGAGTTTACAGTCTAATGGGGGAGAGAACATGCAAACAAATATATACAAAGCAAGCTATATACAGGATAAATGGGAAATAATTAATAGATAGAAGGCTCTAGAATTAAGAGGGGTTAGAAAAGGCTTCATGTAAAAAATGGGATTTAAGTTGGGACTTGAAGGAAGCCAGGGAAGTCAGTGAAGTTGAGGGGGGAGAGCATTCCAAGCATAGGGGATAGCCAGAGATATTGCTGGGAGCAGAGAGAGGCACTGTCTTGTTCATTGGCATTTGAAACCTGGGCTTCAACCTATTTCTCCAGCTTTATTTGACATTACTCCCCTCGACATACTCTACGTTTCAGCCACACTTGACTATTGGCTGCTCCCCAAATTTGCCAAGCTGTCCCTTACCTGTGTGCATTCCTGCATTCTATCCTCTGTGGCTGGAGAACACTTCCTCTCTAACTTCCCCTTTCACAATCTTTCTTTTCTTAAAGGCTCAGCTCAAGTATCACCTTTACTGTGGAATTTTCCCTAAAAATGTTCTTAGAGTACTTTGGGGAATATGTCCTTTACTGTATCACAATGTACCATGCATGATACTAATTTGTGTTATACCCATATTTGTGCTGCCCCTATTTTTGCCCTTCCTTGAAGGGAGAGAATATAATCTTTTTTTTTTAACCCCAGGATCTAGGACTTGCAGTAACTTAAATATAGTTAGAAACTTTATAAATGTTTGTGGAACCTTGAATAGAGCACAACAAGAGTATGTGTAACTTGGTAAGTAAAGGTACTAACTGGTGAAAATAGATGGCTAAGGTAAAAGTGACTAATTTGGTAGGTAGATGATTTAGAGGGTTGAATGAATAAAAGGAAAAGTAAATCATCATTAGCAAGAAGATCCCAGGATGCCAGCCAGATTACATTTTCCAATGTGCTTTTGGCTAGCCTTTGAAAAGAATAATGCTAAAGAAATATAAGGAGCCAACCAGATTAGCTTCCAGACTCATAGGTCTGAAAGAAGTAGGGCCCAACCTAAAAGAAACAAGGCTTAAATAGAAATTTTTATAAAAATGGTACACAGAACTTCTCCAACTAACTGCTATGAACACAGTAGGTCCAATATTGGAGGCATACAGCACATTAGATATGTTTTCTATAAATACAAAGCAATGTGTGCAGAAGGGAAAATGTGGAGGTATAATTTGACAGGATAGGGGTGTGTGTGTGAGTGTGTGTGTGTGTGATGGCTTCAGTATTGAGTCAATGAAATAATTATTCATTAATTTTAAGTGCCTTCTCTGCGCCCTAGGTGGCGCAGTGGATAAAGTGCCAAACCTTGGAGTCAGAGAGTCTTCTCCCTAAATTCAAATCTGGCCTCAGACACTTCCTAGCAGTGTGACCCTGGACAAGTCACTTCACTTTTTTGCCTCAGTTTCCTCATCTGTAAAATGAGCTGGAGAAGGAAATGGCCAATCACTCCACTACCTTTGCCAAGAAAAACCCTAAATGGCGTCACGAAGAGTCGGATATGACTGAAATGACTGAACAACAACTGCAAGATGCCGCTGTTTACAGTATTTGCAAATAATAAATGCATAACTAAATCTGAGAAAAGTATCTTTTGGAGGAAAAAAAAAGCCTGAGAGCATGCAACTTAAATTTACAGCACTGACATGGAATCTTTATTAGATTATGTTAATATGTTAATATTTGTCTTTGATTTGGAAGATCTGTGTACTTCAAGTTCTGGCCGGTTCACTTTCTCCTTTTAAGCCCTGGGGGGTGGGGGGCACGGAAAGAATTAAAGTTTCTCAGACACAAGCTTCCCTTAAGGTCCTCCCGACAAGCTTCCCACTTTTAGTCCACCTTAAAGCCAACTCACTGGAGCTCCGATGGCCGGATTGGGCTATTTGTGAGAAGAAAAGCAGGGGGGCGGGAGTTGGGAGAACGAAACCAGCTGTAGGTCAGCGTCCTTCCCCCAGCCTCCCAGCTGGACCCGAGGGTTTGCTCCTGCATCCCTGCTTTCTGGTTCGCACGTCTCTGCCTACCAGTGGGGTGCAGAACGCCACGGAGGCGGAGGGGCAATGCTGAGCTCCCCCCGCCATTTCCATGCAGGGCTATTTTTAGCTGCTTCTGTTGCAATATAAAGAATGTTTGGCTTGGAGAGCTCTTTGCAGAGAGGGTGCGTTGTCACTTTAAGGAGGATCTGGACTTCAGGGGGTGGGGACAGTTAGCAGAGGGGCTGGGGTGGCCTGGGTTTCAACCACTACCTTGGGAAGAGCGGGGGTTGTGTGTGTGTGTGTGTGTGTGTGTGTGTGTCTGTGTGGCTAAGGACTCCTTACTGAAAGGGTTTGCAGAAGACTCTGGGAAAGCCACCATGGATTTGTTGCGGGAGGCCGACTGATTTTCCTAGCGCCAACGTTGGGCAGTGACTTCACCCAGGAAGGACTGTGCGACAGCTGGCTGGCGTGGCTTAGGGGTGAGTAGCCCTTAAAGGGTGTAAAAGGGGAGAGAAAAGTGTGAGAGGCAGCGAGAAGAATCCTTCGATTTTGCCCTTCTGAGGCAAAAAGGCTACGTATGAACAAGCCGCAGCATCCCCCTCTGATGAGAGCTTGTGCATTGTTCAAGGGCAGGATGTGCACCGTTCACCCTACCTCTTCCCCTCTCCCTGTAGATTGTGGTCACGCGTTTCAGTCAGTGTCCTCTTGGGTACATCTGACCACATGATTTTGCACTACTTCGAGCTCGTGTTTTGATGCCTGATTTGAAAGGGGACAAGAGGGATGAATCCATCCCTCCACCCGAGCCCTGAAAGATGCTTCGTGGAGAAGCTCTAAGTTGAAAAGGTCCTCCGTGGCTTCCAGCCCTTGTAGTCCTTTGCCCAAGCTGTGGGGAGGGGTATATTTGGTAGAAGTGCTGAACCCTAGAGCTCTTTTAGTAGACTGGAAGGATGAAATGGCAAAGTGCCATTTATTCTCCTCTGTCTCTGAAAGTGAAAATAGTGATAAAATAAAAGCTGTAATTAGCCATCCCTCAGAGTAATTAATCAAAACTATGCATTTTTTTTTAACCCCATAGCACTGCTCATTTTCAAGCCAGAGAAGCATGTGGCTGGCTTCTGGATCAACTCTTTGGATTAGTGCAGCTGGTTTCCTTGTCAATCCCAAAGCCTAGGTGTATCTACTGTTTGAGGAACCAGTCTGAGGTGAGACCCTGTCATTCTAGAGCTTTTGTTTCTTCCTTTCACCCTTTCTCCCCAGCATCAATAGGCTTTCATCCTCCAGAATCCACAGGCATTTACTAACAAAGCCTAAGAATTGGGGCTTGGAGGGGGTTTCCATGTAGTCACTGGAAAGAACTTTCCACCAGAAAGGTTGCTTTAAAAAACAAACAAACAAATGAAAAACTACCAATGCTTCAAGTAAAGGGGGGAAATGGAGCTGCTCTTGGAGTGAATGGAACATTCCAAGTCTGGGGAAGATTAGGTGTTTGAGTTTCTAAATAGTAAATCATCTGTGGGTTAAATCGTGAAGTTCCCAGTATTCTCCCTGGGTAAGAAACCCTTAGCAAGTGAAATCTTGAGACTCCTTTTCCTTAAATTACCTTCCTGCAACCTCTTCTACCTCAATATATATCTTGAACCTAGCTTTTTCCTATCACTTTTTGGTATTGTGTATGCTTTTCACTTGAATAGTGATCTAATAAGTTTCATTTTTGCTTAGACAATTCTTTATCCTGTTTTGTAACATGAAGTTCTAAAACTCTGGTAATGGTTTTGTCAAGTCCTTTATTTTTGGAGATGATGCCACTTGAGAGTAGATTATAATTTGTAGAGTCAGGTCTGACTGAAAAGGTCAAATTAGGATCAATGGCTCCTCCTGCACAGACCACCTGGGAAGTCTCTTCTTAGATTCACAATAACAATTCTCATAGCTTGCATTTGTGTGGCACTGTGAGTCAGGAGGCTTGGGGTTTGGTTTTTTTTTTTCCCTAGCCCAAGTTATTTAACCTTTCTAGGCCTCAGCCTTCTCATCTATAAAGTGAAAGGACTGGATTGATTCCTAAGGCCCTTTCACTGTTTTATGCTTTATCTTGCTTGATCTCGGTGATGACTCTGTAAGGTAGGTAGTATCAGCATGATGATCCCCCCATTTTATCAAAAAAGCTTGGTGACTTGCTCAAGATCCTGTAAGAGGAAGAGCCTTGACTTCAGCCCTGGTCTTTTGAAACCAAGCAAATTGCCCTTCCCGCCATACCATTGCAGTTTCTCTCTTAGGTGGCTGTTGCTGTTTGCAATGTAGCTGGACTGGGGAGTCAGGAAGAGCTGAGTTCAAATCCTACCTCTGATCTTTAGTAATTATGGCCATGGAGCCTTAGTTTCCTCATATGTAGAACAGGAATAACAATACCTGAAATAATACCTATAATGACCCATGAGCTAATGAGTAAAAAGGGCTTTCAGAACTTTAAAGAAACATAGACATGGCAGTTATTGTCATTATAAATCCCCATGATCCCAGGAGGCCAAAAAAAAAAAAGACAACTCAAAGCAACTTCATTCCTCATGTGTACCTCCCAGCAGCTCAAGGAGAAGAGAGAACAATGACAACCAGGGAGATCACTGTCTATGGTTAGCCCACTTCAGGTTACTGTACATAAGTTGCTTAGACATCTGAGCTATTCTTTTTATAAGCCCAGCCCTGTGTGGGTGTGTTAGGATGAGTGTGGTTTCAGGACGAGTGGGCTGGACATCTTCCAGGGCCTTCTTGTTGGTGAGCTTACTTCTTTAGTCCCTGGACGTTTGATATGGCTCGTAGGTGGCAATGGTGAAGCTATCCAAGAAGCCAGATGTGTTTTCTGGGGAAGGTTCAGGTCCTGTAACAATAGATGAAGACTGAGAGCATTTCTGCTTTGGGGACCTTTCGTTAGTTTAAAAGTTTGATGCCACTCTAAGTCCTCCAGTGGAATAGAAAGGAAAAGTATTTATTAAGCCCTTACGGTGTGCCAAGCACTGTGCTAAGTGCTGGGGATACAAACAGAAAATCAGGGCAGCCTCTTCATGTTAAAGAGTTCACATTCTGATTGGAAGAGACAACCCATAAAAGGGGGTTCATGTTTATGTTCAGTTCAGGGCAGATGGAAGGGCCAGGTAGCACTAAGTTTCCAGTATGTAAAGTAACAGCGTCATAAAGGACTTTTGAGCTTTATCATAGACTCAGAACTGTAAGGGACTTAGAGATCATCGAATCATATCTCCTCATTTTACAGGTAAGGAAATTGAAGCCCCAAAAGGCTAAGTGACTTTCCCAAAATCATAATCCATAACAGCTAGGATTAAAACCCAGGGACTCTGAATACAAAATCAGTGATCTTTCTCTGACAGTATGTAATCAGTGAGTCATTGTAAATGTGTTGCCTAGAGAACCAAATTCACTCATATTTTCAGCTGTATATTTCTAGTGAAAATTTTACCCTGGGCCTCAACATATTTGCTTTGGCTTTGGAGGCCACACACTCTTCTCCTTTCTTCCCTCCCACCACCTCCTACAATTTAGAAGCTTTACAATTTTTTAGCTTTGCAGGAAAGAAATACAAAGGATATTCATTTGTTTGTTTATTTAAAGATGGCATATTGGTTGAAGGCATCTAATTACAACTTCAATTATAGCCCCCAGAGGTCCACAGAAGAGTTTTGAAAGATGGAGAAAGCTTCATAGCAGGGCTCACCACTTCTGGGATGGATATTTCCTGGGCCATGCCCACTGGCCCTTACCTTGCCTGGTCCAGTCCTCTTTTTCACTCCTATTATGTTTGTAGAAACTAGAGCCAAATGGTGATTAAAGAGCTTAGTGTGCCCTCCTGGGCCCTGTTTTTGTAATGTGGCATTGCTCAGAGTTCCAGACTTACACTTTCTAGTTATAGTTCATATAAACTTTGAGGAACCTTCTCCCAACTCCCACTGACAAGTTGGGTTCCCTGAGTTAGACTGGCTACATTACCCTCTTAGGATTCTAGGAGTAGTCCTGAGGGGTTAGAAGGGATGCCATTGGCTCAAGTCTCCACTGGTGTTCTTCCTTCCAAGATTATCAGTTCAGAATCAATTTAGTCAACCAGCCTTTAAGTAGCTTTTAGAAAGGGGTATTTATCAAGGTATACAATATGAAAAGTTGGTAATACTCTCCCACAAATACCTACAGAATCTAGAGGGATGAGGGCTTGAGCTTGAAAAGCACATTAGGCCAATGGCAGCTCCTTGCTGCTATAAGCCCTTTCTGCCATTCTCGAGGGTCTCAGAAAGTTCCTTTTAGGCATGATGTAATCTTACTGATAAGCCTCCTTGTAGAGCTATGAATCTAGGCTGTCTATAGCTCCTGATAATACAGATACTGCCACCAGTCAATCTAGAATGTTATTTAGGATATCATGGGAAATCCAACATCCCAAGGACCTTTGGAAGCTAAAAAGTCTTCCTCTGGTAAAAGATAGTGGAGGGAAGGTGGCTTCTCCTTCTTACCAGGCAGTTCCTACTTAGGGAATTCAATTAAAACTCTACACGCACTCCAATTTTTTGGGGGGAAGGCTAGGCAATTGGGGTTAAGTGACTTGCCCAGGATCACACAAGTAGTAAGTACCAAGTGTCTGAGGTCAAATTTGAACTCAGGTCCTCCTGACTCCAAGGTCGGTGCTATATTCACTGAGCCACCTAGCTGCCCCTACTCACTCCAAATTTTGGAATTACCTTCTTTCTCATCTTACTTGGTAATTTATAGACAAAGTGCAGGTCAAATTTTCCCAGCCTGTCCAAAAAAAATCATGATTCTTATGCAGCATCATTCTAGTCGAATGCCTTTTTCACACTTAATTGAAGGTCTTTTGATTTATTGACTGAGACATGATCTCCCCTGGTCAATATATCAGAGCTAAAATGGTGTAGAGTAGCTTTAAAACTCACACCCCTCTCCACCTCTCACAAAGTTATCATGTAGGACAAAGTAATCATGGAACTTGTAAAGGGGGGTGGTGATGGAATGGAAATATGCATGAAGAGGAGGAACTTAGTACAGTTATGTAATTATAAGTAAGATTACACTGGATATAACAACTGCTATAGTGAAATGCCAGGCACCTGGTAACTTGGAACCCAGAATTTGTTGAGCCCTTCCTGAACTTATGTGTAAGGTGTATTGTCAGTCTATAATGCTTTACTTATTCAGCAACGTGACTCATGAGATTCCATGTAAGCTTTCAAGAGCACAATTATCCACCCAAGGCATAGTCTATGTGGCTGTCTTGTGAGTTTTGATGAGCCAGTAGAATGTAAGCCCCTTAAAGGCTGAAACAGTTTCTTTTTCATTTCACTACCTCTGTTATCTTGAATATAGCAGACATATAATAAATACCTCATAAATTGTCATGAATGAACATTGAATTGAATGTTTAAAGCTTATTATGAGTTCCCCACTTGTCCAAAGACTTATTCTGACTCTGACTTCCTGGTCCTATGTTCCCTGTTACATGCGCAGGAAAGGTAGAATAAGACTTGGTCTAACACCCAGCTGTGCTTTGCTCCACTGATGAGGAGGAATGGCAGTATTTAGTCTGAAACTAATCATATCCTGCAATAGTTTTAGAAAGTTAGCAAATTTCTTGAGGGCAGCTTAACTTTCTTGGTTCATTTAGTTCATAATGTCAGATGACAATTTGAAATTTATCATACATGATCTAGACATCTTAATCCTGTTCTCCATGAATTTGCTGTGTTTGATGTGCAATACACGTCTACTATATTATAGTCTAAAGCAGCGGCTTTAATCTAGAGTACACTAACCTCAAAGGAGTCCAAAGACAGTCTTAACACATGGTTAAGACCCCAAAGGGGATCTCTCAACTTTGATAAGAAGCAATCCATCTCTATTTTCACTAACTTCTGAGATTCAGCATTTTCTCCAATTATTTAAAACATTATCCTGAAAAAGGGGTCCATAGGTTTCACTAGGCTGACAAAAGGGTCAATGATACATATTGGGGAAAAAAAAGGCTGAGAACCCCTGGTCTAAGCAACATTATAGTTCTGAAGTGCTTGATTTTGAATCCTGTTCAATACTGGAGGATTCCAGTTAGTATCTAGCCAGCAATGGAGATCTGAAAGAAGTAACAGTTGTTTCTCATTGAAGATAGTGGTGATAATAGGGTCTTTGAAATCTT